ACACACTAGTAATGGAAACATGTATGTATGTAAATGTTTCTGAAATGGTTTGGAAGAATATACCCCAGACCCTTGCTCGTGGTCACCTGTGAAGAGTGAAGAAGGGAAGAGAAAGAATGGAACGTCAGCTTTGTATCTAAACATCTTCTCTTAAAAAAGACTGCAAGTAAATATATGAAGATACTGATTAATTCTGGATTGTGATATATGGATCTCTAATTCTTATTTTCTATACTTTTCTGTATTTTTAAAATTTCTCAGAATTAGTAAGAATGAGGGTGAAGATGGGAACGCTGTACCTGTGGAAATCATGCTGTAATACTCATTCCTGGTCGGGTACAGTGGCTCACGCCTGTAATCCCAGTGTTTTGGGAGGCCAAGGTGAGTGAATTGCCTGAGCTCAGGAGTTTGAGACCAGCTTGGGCAACATGGTGAAACCCCATCTCTACTAAAAATACAAAAAAATGAGCTGTGTGGAGGCATACGCCTGTAATCCCAGCTACTCAGAAGGCTGAGGCAGGAGAATCATTTGAGCCTGGGAAATAGAGGTTGCAGTGAGCCAAGATGGAGCTATTGCACTCTAGCCTGGGCGACAGACCGAGACTCTGCCTCCAAAAAACAAAAAAAAAATCATTCCCAATCAAAAACTACATTTGTATAGAAAATATTTCTAAAATTTTACCAACGAGTGGATGGACTTGCTCTGTATATACCACAAAATTATCCATTTTTTTACATTCAGAATGAAGGGCATAGTAGCTCATGGCTACAGTCTTTCCTCTTCAGGAGGCTGAGGTGGGAGGACAATTTGACTGCAGGAGTTTGAGACCAGCCCGGGCAACATGATGAGACTCCGTTTCTACAAATAATTTAAAAATTAGCCGCAGTGCCAGGCGCGGTGACTCACGCTTGTAATCCCAGCACTGTGGGAGGCCAAGGCGGGCGGATCACCTAAGGTCAGGAGGTCAAGACCAGCCTGACCAACATGATGAAACCCCATCTTTACTAAAAATACAAAATTAGCTGGGTGTGGTGGTACATGCCTGTAATCCCAGCTACTCAGGAAGCTGGGGCACAAGAATCGCTTGAACCTGGGAGGTGGAGGTTGCAGTGAGCCAAGATCACACCATT